GTTGATTAGCAGGGGGCGGAGGTTGCTGCGACCGGGGGGCGTGGCCAGTTAGTTTTCTTCTGGCTGTGTTCGCCGCCGTTGTCACTCAGCTTGGCCCAAAACGCACATTGGCATTGGCCGTTTGCCGGGCCAGCTAATTTCAAAGGTAAGCGCGTCAAGAACAGTTATGAGCTTCGAGCTGAAATGGAATGGCCGGGAATGGTCTTTGGTCCACGATGGGTTGACCGGTGGGATGGGAAGAGATGGGTTGGCATGGGACGGCAGCCAGCCAACTTGCCTTGGGATGTGGCGGCATGTGCCGCACTCTAAGAACGAGTCAAGCTTAAGAAAGACTTTAAAATGCCTTTAAAAATGTGCGACCGCCAAAAGCCAGGCGTTGGCAACGATGATGGCCTGGAAAGATTTAGTTTATGCTATCCATTATTGTATAAGAATTGTATTAACTTAAGGAATAGTCTTTATAAAGAAAGGGTCCCCAGTGATGGCTATATCTTCCCCAACTCTCATCCGATTCTCAAGCGGAGTACCTTAAACGATTTCTGGATCGATTTGCCACCATTCTGCATCAAAATCCTGAGACAAAATATTTTTTATATTTTTTGTCCATTTTTCATGATGGGATCCTTGAAACTGGGGTTTTCCCTATAGGGCCCACTGCGATGTCTATATCTTCCCCAATTCTCATCCGATTCTCAAGCGGACTGTTTTAAACAATTTCTGCATCGATTTTCCACCATTCTGCATCAAAACCCTGAGACAAAATATTTTTTCGATTTTTTATCCAATTTTCGTGTGGGATACCTTGAAAATGGGGTTTTCCCTATAGGGCCCACTGCGATGTCTATATCTTCCCCAATTCTGATCCGATTCTCAAGCGGAGTACTTTTAACGATTTCTGGATTGATTCTCCGCCACTTTGCATCAAAATCCTGATACAAAATATATTTTAGATTTTTTGCCCATTTTTCCTGATAGGATCCCTTAAAAATGCGGTTTTCCCCTATGGGGTTCACAGGGATGGCTATATCTTCCCCAATTCTCTTCCGATTCTTAAGATTAGTGCTTATTTCACAGACGGACCTGCTCATGAGTATGTATACTTTATAAGGTCCTTTTCTGCGTTGAACACTTTTGCCAAAATTATAATACCCTCTGCAAGAGAATAAAAAGCCTCCGCAAAGTTATGCGTTGAACGCATTGCCACACAGCAATGCGATTGGGGATTGGATTGAATTCGGAATGGGCTTGGGTACGGCTGCACAGTCGTTGCTGCTGTTGCAAGTTGTTGCGGCAAATGTTCCGGCTGTACTTGGACTTGTACTATGGCAACCGTTGCGCTTCAACTGCAGCCATATATCAAACTGGAAGTGAATTCTGCACGCCGCGGCGTCAGATACAAATACTAAACTTGATAGAGACATAACTTGCATGCAGCGATGCAGGAAATCAGCAGAAAACCAGCAACAACACTGGCCAGAGCAGGTGCATATATCAAAGTGCACTGTTATTATCTTTCCTATATGTTAAAAATTTTAAATTTATTAAATTTAAGTTACATTCAAAACATAAAATCTAGAGAATAAGAAGCATGTGAATTTTTAAGGCCATACGGATGTTTTATGGAATATGTTTTAGTTTCACCTAAAAACTCGATGCATTTTTTTCCAGTTTAGGCCAAAGCACAAGCCAGGAGTTTGTGGTTTAAGCCTCTGCTTTTCGATCTGGGCCTGGTACTTCCACTTTATATTCTACATTGGTTCTCCTTTTCAAGTGCGTGAGGGGAATTGTCGAGAAGTAAAAAAGAAAATTAACCAAACAGCAGGTTTTTATTCACGCTAAATTATATCCCAGCTCTTGCAGGCGGACAGAACTGCTGTAGTTACACTTTATATAGTCACTGCATAATGGTTTGAGTCATGCCATTACAATGTGATTTTGTTATGTCAGTTGTTATTCTCTTGTACCCTTCCATCCCATGATCTTAACTTGGTCAATCAGGCAACTAGAAATTACCATATTTTTGCTAATAACTATCTGACTGACGAATGTTATACCTTACTGATCTTAGAACTCAGAGAACTATCATTTTCCATTTAAAGCTGGATAAATAAAATATCACTTAATTTTCGTAATTTTTCAAAGGGGTAACATTCCGCCAAAAATCGACGAAAATTTAGTTCTTCCACATTTTTTACATTTTGATGCAGGTCGAAGGGGGCTTAAGCCCTAATAAAAATGTGGTATTCCATTTAAAATCGGATAGAAAAGGGACGACATGTATCTGAAAAGTTTTTATTAAATTACAATGAGGATTCCTGATATGGCTTACCATAGTCCTGTTAATGAATTTCGCCGTTTACCCAAAAGTTTTCTACCTTGCTAAAATTGTATTTAACCTCTTTATCCCACAATTTTCCTATTTTGAGCTGACAAAGAAATTCCCCATTTGACACCAATCTCTTTTTCCTCTCCGATGACCTCTAAACACCCCACATAATTCATACTAATAATCATTAAAAAGTGCGACTGTCATTAGCCCAGAAATCTGAGTTTGAAAACAAAATAGAAGCCGAAAACAGAACGTCCACTGATGATGGTTAGAAACAATAAGCCGCGTGGCTGTTCTATTTTGATACCCTCTCAGAGGGTATTATTGTTAAAAAGAATCTTTCATTTAGTTATATTTTAATTCAACTAAAGTTTTTCCCATGTTCTTTTGCGCATAATGAGAATTTTAATAGCTTAGTTTTAAAATGTAAGTATTTTTAATAGAAAGAGCTCAATAGCTTCGGTGTACTACGAAAGTTACCTATTGTTTTGTGGTTCTGTGAGATCACGATTGCCCAAAAGATAACCCAGATGTGGCTGGGGAAAGACATTTGGTTGCAATTTTCCAAAAGAACCCTCCTCGCCCAAGGTGCATCCCAGATATCTGGCGGATCTGACACGAATCCCAATCTAGGCTTTAGATCGCAAATAATTAGATGTAAACGGGGAGGGCGGGGACCCAAGACGTTCGGTAATTACCCCTAGAGAATATGCTTTCCAGCTGCGTCTGATCTTTATGGCTGATGAACGTTAATTATCCCGGCCAGAAAAGAAAAATGATCTCGATGTGCTAGCCGCTTCGTTCGCTTGTTTAGTTTTGGCAAGAAATTGTAACTTTCACGGGCGATCTTGGTTTTACTTTCGTCTTCGTCAGCTCCGTCAGCTGCTCGCATTCTAATCCATCAGCTAAAAGCAACAGCGGCTCATTAAGCTGTTCGGCCTTCTTCGGGCTTCTTGGCCAAGATCGTTGGCCCCATTATGGCATATGGCAAATGAGGGGCTCCCTGGTGGAAAATGCAACGCGTTCTGCTCTCCTAAGCAATCTCTTGGCTGGCATCTGGATGGGGAGCTCGGGTAGCTGGATGGGTGCGTTTTGTAAAAGGGAAACGGAAGCCAAATCTCTAAGATTTATGTGTGCCACATGCTAATCAACGTCAAAACGCCGACGAGCCCCACGGTGGGTGAAATTTGAAATCCGAGCTGCCCCCGGTGGTTTTTCCATGGTGCAGTGGCCCATTGAAATGGGTGAAGGTGAAGGCGAAGGCTTGGACTTGGTCTTGGTCTTGAATTCTTGGTGCTTGGGGCTCCAAGAAGCACAGAAAGAAATTGCTTGCTATTATTTTGCGTCTTGACTATTATTAGTAGAGTTTATAGAGTATTATTTTCATTAAAAGTTGAAGAGAAATATTTTAGAAACATTTAATCTACTCCATCAACTCCATCAAACTCCCATTATTATAAGACCTTTCTAACCAAACCCTCTAATTGCCAACCATAGTTCGTAGATATTGTATTAAAAGATTACCTTTTTTTAGAGTGTGTCTAGCTTACAGATGAGAAAGTTTATTTATTTATTATGTTTTGTTTTTTGTTATTTTTTTTCTTCTTTTATTTTTTGCGCGCGATCTTAACGCTCACTTGGTTTTTGTGTTCTAATAATACCAGCTCTCCAGCAAAACGGACAAACAAAAGCCCAGACAAACCTTTTGTATCTGATGCTGATGATGATGATGAAAATCCAACCTAATGGCTTTTCTATGCAAAATTCAAAGAGACCCAAGTCCAGGCACTTCAATCAGAAAGTTTTTCAGAACGCCTTTCGCTGGCGTTTCACCGCGGGCACGTCCCAACCGAATGGAGTTTCATTTTGGGCTTTGGACTTGGTCTTGGTCTTGGCCATGGTCTTGGAAGTCCCCATGTTGGGCAACCGAAGGCAACAATAACAAGACGAACCCCCAACTGCAATCGCTTGTAAGTTTTATGTCTTTTGTCGGTTTCTTCTGTTTTATCTGCCGGCTTCCGTTCAGGGTTCAGAAGAGGTTCTCTGCCAGGTGGAGAACCATAAACGTGAGGAGTTGAGTTGACAACACTTTGTGCTTGTGCCACTTTCATGCAAATCGCCGTCTGCCCAGACAACGTCTTAACATAATTTCGTAATTTTATTTTACGACAAAAAACTACTAACAAAAAAATAATACAAAGAACAGAAGGAAGCGACGCATTCGTTTTCTTGATGAAATCATTAAGAACCTATAGCTGAAAATTATTGTAATGAAATTTTTGGCGAGCTTTTGCCAACGGAAGTTAGAATTGTCGGTGGAGTTGATTAGGAACTTCTATATTTAGAAATTGACCTATTCAGTGACTTTCTTTTGCATCAAATTTTAAGCTTGGGAATTTTTAAATAAACGGAAGTATTATTGATATATTAATGAGATTATTTAAAATCAAGACCTCTTTTGGGAAAGAACTTACCTTTTAAAATGTCTTCCCAAAAACAAAACTCAAAATTTAAGTATCTAAAAATTAGATTGTATAAATAGTATATTTTTCTGGGCATAAATAAATGTTTAAATAATTTACAAGAATCTTAGGACTATAGTTTTATGTCTAATCTCGCTCTATGAGAAGTTGCTTTGTCCGCTCGCATTTTTTTTTTGGCGGATTGCACAAAAAGTTAAAGCTCCGACCAGAGCCAAACAAGACGAGTTCACAATTATGTAAATTTCTTTTTTTTTTGAGGATGATGATCTCGCTGGTACCGTTGCATTTCAGTTTTGAGAACTGCAATTGGAGGCGGGGGCGTGGCTATGCGCAGTCATCTTCAGCTAAACGAAGGTTTTTTTGTAGCTATTCAGCAAGACAAGTGGGCATAGCTAGGAGATTGGGGAACCAGAGGAGCTGGAAGTGCACCTACAAGGTGCATTGATACTGCTGGTGCTGCAGAGCACGCGGCAGCGTCTTGTGCGGCAGGTGGGCGGCCAGGGAGGGGGCGCCGAAGCGGGGAGGCGAGCGGATCCGCTGGCGTTGCAACAAAATGATGCAAATGCTGATGATTATCACAGATAGCGAAACGGTTACCAGCACGCTGCTCAGATGGGAGCCAATATAACGCAGGATAGCTGCACGGAGAGAAAAATATAAGGATACAAATTCAGAGATTACTAAAGAAGGTGGTTTCTCATAATTATTTTCAACAATAAGAAACCCCAAAAATTTTTCCAAGTGCCCAAATAATGGCCAATAAAGGAATCACGATTGTGGCTGATGGGTAACTTACCTTCATCCTCGTTGTCGCCACCGAGTGGTGGCGAACCCGCCTCCAGCGGCATCCATGAATTGTGGGCCTGGTCCACAACCAGTTTGGCGTACTTGGTGCCCACCACCGGCTCCAGATGGTTGCCCTCCGCCGGCTCCTCGGCCACATTCTGCTGCTGCACCTCATTGAGGTTCAGAGATCGGCCCTGTCCCCGGAGTGTGGCAGTCTGCTCAGTGCTTGGTGGTTGGGTTTCCTGCACCACCGCTGCTTCTTCCACGGACTCGGCTTCCGGCTGGGAGTTCGGCTCCCGGAGCACCAGTTCACTCTTGTTCACATAGCGCATCTGTCGGAGTTCCCTTCCTAGACGTTGATCCTCGTCGGGCTCGAAGGGATCGTTGGGCTCATAGGCGGCGGCTACTCCGTTCTTTCCAGGAACAGTGAAGCTGGCGCGAACGGTCTGCATGCCTGACTGGTAGCTGCAGACTACAACGAATCTGTAGAGAAATATATAGAGTTTAAGGTTTCTTATGTTTTTTGAACGTTTTTTTGGGAACTAAGAGTACTTACCGTCTGGTACTGTGAGTAAAGATCCCCAAGTTTTCCTGCACCGTAATGAATGTCTCCACTGTGTTTGTTTCTGGCTTCACCATGCTGCCGCATTCTTTGTGATCAATTCTCATCGTATACTTATCGGCAGAGTCACTGGGATCACCTTTGACCCCGCAGTTGCCACCATCGACAACAATGCGACCTCCAAAGTATGGCCCCGTTTCCACCTCAATTTCTGAGGCATGTGGCAGGCATTGGGTGGCATGGGCGGAGACTACAGAGAACAGAAAAATTTTACATTCTTTTGTTGGGAAAACTATCTATTTACAAACAAAACAAATATATTCATGGCATTGGAAAATGTAAAGCAGATTTATGGACAAAGTCTGACCAAAGTTTTCTTTTAAAAAAATAAAGTCACGACGACCTGAATACAAAATTATTTCGACCTCTTTTCCAAATTCGGTTACAAATCGATACACTTTCTTTTTTAAGTAGGTATTATGTTTTCTTAATCGCGGAAGTATAAACGTTTAAGATTAACTAATTTTTGTTGATTATTAACATTGAGGGGAAGACAATACTTAATTATGTATGATAATATTTGAAAATGAGGAACCAAAATCTAGTTTACTTACAGCCTTTGGTGGGAATGATAATGCTCTGGCCTGGCAGGTGGCCGGATCCACTTTCGATTTCATTTTCGTCATGGAACTCGGAACGGGCATTGGAGCTTCGGGTACCGCTCGCCTGGAGGCGTCTCTGCGCCGCCGGGCGGATGTGGAAACTGTATCTGGTGGCCATCCGCAGGTTGTCCACGGCAGCGGCAAAGTGCTGGATCTGTGGACTACATTCGAAGAAGTAATGTAAGTTTAATGAGGAATACCTTTTCTTTTTCTTTTAAGAAAAACTCTTTTTAAAATTCACTTTCCTTAATTGGCAATACCACTTACCTTAAGGGATCGTGTAACTCCTGATTCTCCGCCTCGTTCTGGTTTTCCTCATGGGACACCTCGGCCGCTGTTCCGTTCACCAATTTGACGCGACACCGCTGGGGACCGTAGTTCTGCATTTCGCAGTAGAAGATCTGAAAAGCCCGGGGCGGTTCCACATCGAAGCTCATATTTGTCACATTCACCTGGCCCGAGGTGGAGCTGGCTCCCGATTTGGAGTGGGAATCGGTGTTGGTGGAGCTCGAATCTGTGTCATGGGCCGCCGGCACGAATTCAACTTCCCAGGTCAGATTCACCGATTTGTAATTTGGTTCACCGGCAACGCCGCGTATCTCTATCGAAGGTTACCAAGGCATGACATGAGCATGGGCACAAACGGGAAAACGGGGTTATAGCCAAGATTCGTGGCGGAGTCGTAGTCAGAGTCGAAGTCGGAGGCAGTTGCACTTGGGGCATGTGGCTTGCATGCAAATCAGCTACCATAGTTACTACTGGAGTAAGTTCGGTGGCAAAGAACTCGTTCCCGCCAAAGCCAGACACGCTTTTGGATTGGTTCTGTTTCATTTGGTCGGCTTGTTATTTCTTTTTTGTGGCCAACACTAAGTGGTTGGCTGTTCCCACTGCCACTGCCAGCTCTGATCTGAAGATCTTGAGTCAGGTCTATGGAAGTGTGCTGTTGCACTTTTTGTTCTTCCTCTCCACTCATTTAATGCTGGCCGTGATGTAGAATCTGACTCAAAGTGTGACGTGAATTAGCCAAGGGGAGCTGGCAGTTAAGGCGGAATAAAAACTAGACTGACTGTGATGCTGGGCAGGTAATGGGTTAGGGGCTTCAACTTCAAGAGCTTCTGGTTAAGGCTGGAGCAGAGACATGTCTTTGATTTAAAATACTTTTAAGAGACTCCGCTGAAGAGGCATTAAACTAAAGGCCTGGTAGTTCTTACAAAATCTTGTTTACTTTGCGCAGCAGACTGGCTATAAGTCATCGCGAAAACAGGTACAATTCAAATGGCATTTGAGATAGTTTTCTTGTTAATAATAAAAAAGAAATTTAACTTTAAAGAGTTGTGGTAAGAAGTTGCAATTCTGGTTTTGGGTAGTATGCATCATTAAGAAATATAATAATTATAATAAAGTATTTCTCCAAACTCCAAACCTTTCTCTTGCTTAAAATTCCACCAACTACAAGTGAATTCTAGCCCTGATCAATTTCCCATTAATCTCGGCATCGAAACCCCGCCAATTTACAATTTTTCGAACCCACTTAGCCCCGATTTCCAGACAATTTCCCAAGCTGGCCAGCTTTGGCGACTTCTGGTAAGCCAGAACCTTGCATAATCCGCAATTAGAAATGCCATTTGCCGCAGTCTGCTTCACTCGTCTGAAGATTTGTTGTTTCTGTTGCCATTGCTGGCTTATGTTGCAGCTTCTTCGTGTTGCAGTTGCCTGCTTTTCCCATGTTGAAATCATTGACACCGATTTTGTACAGGCAGCATTTTTAGGCGAATTTCACACACAGAACATGGAAAAGTGAAAATTCTGCCATGGCACAAATTCTGACATCGGGGCTACAGAGATGCCATTATAGAACTGACATTAGTGGAACCAAAGCATAAAAAAACTGATTAAAAAATGCCATGGTGGATGACAAGTCTGCAATCTTTGGACTCCACTTCCATTGCAGCATCAGCTAGTGCATGGCCATGATTAATGTGCATTTTTAAGCCAACAGCTGCAATCTTGGGAAGTCTTTCGATGACTTGGCATTAAATTTTGGGATATGCCATGCTTTGTGAGATGTCATGGAAGGTTATGTAAGGCAGGAAGGAAGTGGAGAAGTGATCACACTAGATCCATCATCCATTGCATAAATAAAACACATTTACAAAACCATACATTTTCTTTGTTACAATTTTCCATAGCCTCTAATTCAGACCAATGACCAGATGACCAGGCCGGGCCGGAACGTTCCATAATAAAAGATTGCGGCACAAATTGCATTTAATCTGTCCAGATCAATCTTGATCTGTCACCGCTGGTGATGTAATTGCTGAGCTTTGACTAATTCGATTAGAAAGCGTGTGTTTTGTGTGATAGAATTACCAGCATTTTGCCGCGGCCTAATGACACTTTTGCTCTTCATCTCACATCTCTGGGCAATTTCCGTTCTGTGGTAGTAGGGGCGGGGCAGCGCCCCCTTTTTAGCGGCCAAAAGGAAATGTCGGCACATTTCCCTCGTGCCCACATGATTGGCATAGAATGGGAGGTAGCGCAAAAAACAAGTTCGTTGTCTGAGTCTTTCGTTTGCCATAGCGTGAACAATTTCGCTACCAAGGGCAGACATAGGGAAAATGGCCCAAAGGAACATAACTAGGTTCAGGGAAAAAAGTGCTCCGATCGTGACCAAATGCAATTAGCCAGGCTCCAAATGCAACTGCAACTCTGACAGAGGTAAACAGGGAAACTTGCACAGAAAATAAACGCTTTTTTGTTTAAAAAATTAAAAGTAAATTAGATTTTCACAAATTTTTTTAAAAAGATAATTTTTTCTTTTTTTAATCTGTTTGCTAGTTTTTAGTTTTAACTTTAAAGGTGGTATTTTGGTATAGCTTAGTGGCTTTATTTTTTTTCTGTGCAATTTAACTATCTGCCACTTCTTCATGAGGCCCTGCAACTGCCTGTATGTATTCTCCACTTTGTAGGACTCACCATATTTGCTACCAGCCTTGGCATTGTTGTCAGCAGATGTTGCCGATGTCGATGCTGTTGGTACATTGTTGCTGCTGCTGTTCTTGGGGATTCGGATTGCCTGAAATGCTGCCGGCAGCACCAGCAACACGAACAGACACTGCAGCAACAGGCTGCAGCTGCAATTGGATGCCATCGATTTCGTTGACATTATTTTCGGTTGATTTATTTAAGTTTGGCTATTTGTTCTCATCAAATGTGTGTCAATCGATGAGAAAAAGTGCAAGTATTTAGTTTTCACAGTTTTTTTTAAATTTATTTCAATAAATTTTTTAAAAGTTGTTCTGTTTAGAACAGTTGAAGCTGAGGTTTTTTGTCACAATAAATCAGCTTAGTTTTTTGCTGACTTAATTTCACAATTGTCCACAACCAAATCCCATTTGTCACAGCACAAAATCGGTTAACAGCCGCTATAGTTTTCCGCACCGATTTCCCAATTTTCCCGACGGAACGTACCTCACGCGTTGGACTGCGCCGACCAACTGATTTGACGGCTTTTTGGCCAACTCCAACATCTGGCCAAGTTGGATCAGCTGTTCAGCTTCGGGCCCGAACCAATGCCAAGGCCGATTCAAGAAAAGCTTTCGTCCGAGCTTTTCTCTCATGGCTTCTCTCTCTCTAGTGGTAGGTGGGGAAAATGTGGAAATGCCTCTTATCAGTAGCCGCTTATCAGTTGACATATAACTACATATATGCTTTTGGTTTCTGCTGCTGTTTTATTGCTTTTCAAAGGCCAAATTAAAAATCCATATTGCCGGCCAAGCCTTTTCCATATTTAAGGCGTACACCGAACTTTTGACCAAGTTCCATAAATTTGGCATCGGAGATACCAATACCGTTAGCTGCGAGATCTGGCGGGAGCGTCAATAGATATATAGATACATCACTTTCCCTTTTCTCCGACTGCTTACTGCTTACTGCTCGCTGCTTATGGCCTATTGTCTTCTGTTTCTTCTTTGTTTTCTTTTAGCCTGTTGTTTATGTTTTTTATGTTTTTGCTCTTGCTCTCCCCAGCTGGCTTTGATTAATGCTTAATCAGCAATATTATTGTTATTAGATTTCTATAGCGGCAAGCATTTTCATAAATAATTTGCTCATCGCTTTTGTGTGTCACACAAAATCAATTATAAACCCGAACAAAAAGTTTCTCTGCCACAAAAGAAAAAAAAAATCAAATTAAAGCAAACTACGCAATGAGTGGCATAATGACTATCTATAATTAATTGTTTGCACCCATTGCATAATCTGTACTTTTTTGCCATATTGGTAAATAATGAACGGGAGCTGAATAGGAATAAAAAAGGGCATATTTGATGCAATTATTTTTGTACTTTTACCCAATGAAGGTTGCAAAGTAAAACGAATTTTATAAATCAGTATGATTATACATTTTTGATACACTTAGTAATTGTAGAAATAGTGATACTGTTTTCAATTTCCAGTACTGTTTTTATTTAAATTCCATAAAAACGAGTACAGAAGAAAAACTTTACTTAAAATCCTTACCTTGTTTTATTACCTTTTATTTCATTACAAAACTATAATTTTCGATTATAAAAAGCAGTTGTAAGATCAATAACTTTTGAATTTAATGATAAACAAAATTAAGTAAAAATATAACTATTTAAATAAATAAATCTATTTGAAACATATTTTCTCCGTTTTTACGACAAACAGTTAAAAAAACCATGCCTAACGTTTTTTATAAGCCCATTGTATAAAAGTATGTGAAATAAAATAGTTTAAAATATGATTAGAACAAAACTTTAGGCAACTATAAATACCGCAAAGCGTAAACCAAATATTCAGTTTCAAACCTCAACAGCTACGAATAGCTAAACCTTAAGCTAAAACTTAAACTCAAACCATCGTATCCTGAAAAATCTCCAAAATGAAGTCGTTCGCTTTGTTTTCTTCAATGGTTTTACTGATTGTTCTGGTAGTTGGAGCTAATGGAAATGGTTAGTACTAACTACTATACTACTATATACTAGTGAATAGTATTCACTGAATACTAACTTATTTTTTTTCTTGTTTTTATTCTGTTATAGGGGAAAATAAGGACTGTAAGTATTATGAAAATGATGTAACAACCCAAATAATTAATATCCACCTTTTTCACAGTCCGTTGTACCATGGTTAATTCCCCTAATGGTATCATCTTTGGGCTTCCCAAAATAGGCACGGCCTATGCCTACAATCCCATAAAAAACGAATGCAATTCCTATCATTATGACTTTGTTTTTGGAAAAGTTATATTTGTGACCCAAGCAGAGTGTGAGCAGATTTGCAAAGACAGTGAGAAAGCACAGGATGAAGCCCCTATTTCCAATGATTGGTAAAATTATATTAAAAATGTAAAAAACAGCATTAAAGCTTAATAAAATTATGGTTTAAAAGGGAAATGTTGATCCTTTGTTTGAAATTATAAGTGTCATTTATTACATGCACAAGCCTGACAATAAGCATCTTCATTAAAGGCATCTTTATTAAATTACTTCCATAGAGGGCCTGCCTTTTGAGCCTTGTGATTAAGTAAACCATTTAATATCGCCTAATGCCATTGTTTCCGCTTCAAAAAAAAAAGTAACGCTATTAACCTAGTAACACGCATAGTAATTTCCGGTTATATATAAAGCTCCTGTTTCCCTGGCCACCCATTAGTATGTTAATTAGACAGGTTAATATACGAGTATGTGATGTGACATAAAACCAGACCTTGACTATTTTTAGGACATCAAGGATAGAGTTTAGTTTCATAATGAACCTCCGGCCACCTGTAAACGGGCATAAAAAAATATCTACGCTTCCAAAAGTACTATGAACTGACATCAATAATAGAGTAGAAACGGCTGCCTTCATACCCCATTAGAATGCCACGGATCCATCAAGAGTCCCTTGGTGTTCGTGCCACACATTCCACTAATTCCGCTAATTAAAAATTTAATGAGCCTTTCGAAACTAAAAATACCGTCGGCACGAAACAATTGGAACACCTGTTGGCCCCCGAAAACTCTTTGACGTATTTCCCAACGGGGCCAAAAGGGTTTCCAAGGCTTTACCTTTTCACGAACCCAAAAAAAAAAAAAAATGGAAAATAAAGGGGATTCGGGGCAGTACAAATTGAAATGTGTTTCCCATGAAACCCATGGATAGACGCCACCCATGCCGTTTAGGAAAATCTAAGGACACCAGCTGCCGGTGCCAAATAAAAGCCATGGAAATCCAAAAGAGATTTTCCCAGCGCTTCTTTTCCTTGGGCCTGCCTTCCCCTGTTTTCCTGAGGTTTTTTAGTGGGTGCCCGAAAGTAGGCAACGAAAGTCGTTCCTGTGCGGCGCATAATTGAGTGGCGGCCATCATTGCCGTCGCCGCAGTAAACTGATTTGCATACCGCCGCCAAGTCCATGTCCGCGTCCACATTCGCGCTCTGGCACTGGTTCTGGCTCTGTCTCTGGCTCTGACTTGGTGGTGTCCCCTGTTCATGTCATTAGCAGTCTTTCATCGGAGAGGGGGGTGTGTATAAATTTACATGCCAACGCGTGACACACGCGGCGTATGCGCAACGTCACAAGTGCTGTCCGTTTAGCCATTTTCCTTGGAAAGTTTGTTGCTTATTTTCCGGAAATTCATAATTTCCTATCAGGTTTTGTCGCGATTGTCGGTAGTTAAGGTTTTCTTGCCCCAGAGGATGTGGCTTATTTCCTGGCCAACAATCTATTCCTGGCCTGTATGGTACCTTGGTCAAAATAAGTGGAAGTACTTTGGCTTTAAAGTTTATACTTTCAACAAGTCGTTAACTTAATTTTAAAAGTCCTGTCAAACATAAGAGCATTAACTTCATAAGATTATATTAAAACCAATTTAAATTCGTGACGAAACTCTGTTCAGGTTATTGGCCCTTTCATTTTTTTGTTCTTTATTTCATCACCGTTGGAGTTGTCCTTTTTTTAATCTCATTGGGCCAATACTACTGTCGCCAGACTTGATCCTGCCTTTGACTTCATGTCCTGCCGGCTTTTTGTCCCATTGCCTGTAGGGCTGCGTTTGTTTGACGTCCCCTCGCGCTGCGCCTGCTGCCAGGATTACATGTCTAGGGCACATCAAACAAGCTTACTTACCAATGACCTCGTTAATGACGCACACACTTACACACAGCCACGCACACTCTGACACCGGGAAACACACACACAGTGTCACAGTCCCCCCACGCACACAAATACCAAACCGAAAACGACAATTTTGTGTGCGTTTGCCTTGCTGTTGAGTTTACTTTGTAATTTTCGCTTATCAGATTTATTTTTATTTTCATTTTTGATTTTTTGTCAGCTGCTATACAATACAGAGAAAGTCATAGCAACTAGCCAATGCTCTGTAATCTGTTTTTTCTATCATATTAAATTAATTTTATAAGAAAATTTTAAATATTCTATCCTTTTTTTAAGCACCTGGCTGTTCTAATGGATTAAAAGTTATCTTTTAAAATAGTGTGTGATCCCCCCAAATTCTGCATCAGTTCCTAGAGTTTATAACCCCAGGCAGTCAGAGTACTAAAAGACATTACAAAATTAGGACCCACTGCTGACGTAGTCAGGATCCGAGCCTGGATCCGGGTCCGGGTACAGTTAAAGTAATTGCCTAGCCACTGTCGCAATCGCAATAAAAACCAGCCTGATTGCCGTTGGCTTTCCCTTATTTCTGTATTTTCCTTCTATTTTTTTTTCTGTACACACCCATATTGGCCCTTTAATGAACACCACCCAGCTAATAACTCTGACAATATGTTTACTCATCCGCTCCAATAGTAATTACCATTGACATCATTGCACTGGCAGTGAAACAATATGTTCATGTAATATATGTACGTGGCATTTCGATACTGTATTTATCTCATCATCATATAACCATTAACACATGCTCTATGTAATTACAGTAGACTAATTTAAGGTAACTATTAAATAATTGGTCGAGCGCTGGCATCGTTTACGTTTTCTTTTAATTTAATTTTCCATAATATGTATGTTTTTTGTTTCATCAAAGTTCTAAGTTTTCAGGAAATTCTAGTTCGTCCAGTTGTGGGTGTTGGTTTTTCGTGCTTTTAATTAAAGCGGCCAGAAAGTATGCTATTCAGCGTGTACATTAAATTTAAATAATACTTTGTGTGTGTGTTTTTTCGTGGGTCACTGTGGTCGTGGCATCTACATATAATGGGGAGTATTTTGTAAAAACAAAAATAGTTACAAAACTTTTTGTGGAATCAGCGCAAATCAAATTTACATATCAAAGGAATTTTCATTTTTGTGATTTTGTTACATTCTAGGCTATCCACCTGGCTGGTGCTGAAAATTTTGGTTGAGTATTTTTTCCTTTTTTTTAACTTTAAAATTTCCGTATAATTGAATTGAAATACAAAGTGACAAATTCTTTGCCAAATTTAGACCTTCATTCACTTAGAGCACCTGAATAAATTACTTTGCATTTTTAGATATTTATTAAGACATTATTTGCACATTTTATCTTAATTTTCAGCACCAGTACAATGAATTTAATGTTCAACATTTTTTCTTCAATTTAGGAAAGGAATTTCTTTATCTTTTTTTTGGTGAGGCCTTTGTTCTCCAAAAACTGACCTCATTTTTTGAGTGATTTTTTGTGTGTGTTTAAGGTGTAAACTGGAATTTGGTTGCTATTAACTAAGACATTGACTAACTTAACTTCTGCTACTAAAGCCAGCTGGCTCGCCCCCTCGCCCCATGCCCCCCGCGAGCTTCTTCTAGCTGTGCGCTTTGCGCAGTCGAAGGAGCAAAGGATAGTGCAGGTCCTCGTCATAGAGAGCGGAATCGGCTTTCAGCTGGAGGTGACGCTGCCAGATGGTCTCGTTGTACCGCGTGGCCTGCACCACCGAGAATCCCCGCGCCATACACTCGTCCTTGAACACGCTGAGGGTGCGACCTCGCCGGGGGGCCATTATTAGGGCAGAGCCCTCGGGGGCCAGGTAATACCAGATGGTGTCCACCAAAGCGGATCGGGCCTCGTCGAAGAAGAGGCAGTCGGCGCACAGGATGAAATCAAACTTGCCTTGCTCCGCCGGTGAACGAGCGGTCTTCTCCTGCCACTTGAGGACGGAGCACTTGGTGTAGCAGCTCAGCTCATTGAGGCAAACTGTCTTCCGGACGTTCTCCACGGATATCTCATTGCCGTCCGTGAGGTGCACGGCATAAGGGGTGGCGTACTTAGCCAGCATCAGTCCCGCCAGGGAGGTGAACCCTCCGCCCAACTCCAGTATCCACTTTCCACGATATGAGGACACTTCGGATAGGACCAGGGCGGTTAGGGCCTCCTCCGAGGGCCACACACAGATGTTGCCCGTGTTATTGAAGCCCATCAGATCGCTGGCGGTCAGCTGGCGCTCCATGTGATGGATGTTGACGGAGTACTCCTGGAACTCGTTGTCCAAAAGCATGCGGTACTTGTACCAGTTCTCTGTCTTACCCAGGCACTTCAGACTCATGTGATCCTCGAAGCTGTCCTGGCGCAGGAGATCAAAGCTTTTGAAGCGGCGCACGGATGCCGTTTGCTCCTCGCTGAACTCATCGCTGGAGGAGGACACCGTCTCCTCGGAGTCCTTGCGCAAAACCTTTGCCAGGATCTTCCAGCGCTTCTGGGCGGTGTTTTGTTGCAGGTTAGGCGTGGCTGGAGGCGTGGGCGGCATGCATGGGGCACTCAGTTTTTGTCCTGCCCCGTTCGCCAGACCCATTTGCTCCACCTCCAATTCGGTGGCCTGTTCCCCATCCAGGGTGTCCCGTTGAACTTTGTCCAGTGTCATCTTGTGCTGCTCCTTGAACGCATTCAGCGTATTATCGATATCGTATTGTAACAGCAGCGATATGGTAGTATACGGTGGCACGTCCCCTTCTGCACCAGAGCCTACACTCGATCCTAGTCCTGTTCCTTGTCCTAATCCAACTCCCGATCGATTATTTGTTTTCTCTGTGGGTGTTTTTTGTACTAGGGTTGCTGACATCTTACTCCAAGTTGTGTTTGTTTCGCTTTCAGTTTTCCATTTTCAGTGCTGCTGGACGGGGTGGAAAAAAAGGGGAAAAGAAAAGAAATTAGTTTAAAAAGTTTTCCAAAGTTTCCCGGCATTCGTTCCCAACACTGACGTGTTGTCCTCTTTCGGGCCCATTATTTTCCAATTATGAATTTTTAATAGCATTAAAAATTCAAATTATCCGACCATAAAAATAAAACAAATTATACCGAGCAGAAAAATCTAAGCGAATATTACGAAAAAATCTTTGTCGACAAGAAGTCTATGCATATATGTATTTGAATATTTGTAGATACAAGCTACATATAATTAACGAGCCAGAAATTTTGGAGAAATATTAAATAGTCGACTGTGTGATATCCTATGAAATATATTTATTAAATTAATGAACAAATAGACTATGTTTAAGGTTGTATTTATAGGCCCATTGTATTATTTTTTTTAGGTTCCCATTTAATTTCCACCATCACCTGCAGTCTTTAAACTAAACAATCCAATAATATTATATCTAGCTCTTGGCACAGAGATTATTTGGTATATTTACGTATCTGCTACCTTGGCCTTTATTGTTTTGATTGTTGCACATTTTCACTCTGTATATTTTGAATTTTGTTGCTGGACGTATAAATTCATCAAATTTAAGAAATTTTACAGCTCATAAAAAATGTTAATCGTGCTGACGGTATATCGCACAGACAGAAAAACAAAACACATGCTAATGAGAGGTCTTCCAGCAAAAATTGCCAGCGCATTTCCCATTTTTCTCCATTTCCTAGCGGCATATGGAGGCTATTGTTGATAAGAGAGGGCGTTTAGTTTTGATTAAAGGTTGTTGTTTCCTCCCACCCACCTGGCTGGGGTGGGTGGACTGGGCCTGACCAGTGACACCTGCTCTGGATTTCCTGGACCTGGGACGTTCGAGTGCATAATCACGGCCTGAGTAATTGAAATTCGTTTGAATTTATGTGTTTGTCTCTGGGATTTGCGTGGGCGATATGGTGGTATGAGGCCAATGAATTTACATAAAGAATGTGTTCAGGATTCATCTCAGAATTGGGCATTTAGCTCGGATAAACACGTACAGCTTGTGTACTTGTGGATGGCATTATAATGCTGATTGATAAATAGCTTTAAAGCGGGGCTTAAATCATCAGTCACATAATCGATTGTTGGCCGTGGCCACAAGCCACATAAATAACAGGCACTATTGCCACCGCAAATATTTCCATAATTGCATATTCAAAATGTTGACAGCATGACGGCTTCATAAGAGTCATAATTGGCTATAAATATTTTAATTTTAATCAACCGGACAGCATATTTGGAGTCAACCTAATTTGAAATCGTATTAGTTATTTAAAGAATTTAATTTGTAATTAATTCTTGAGTAGAACTAGGATCCAAGCTACCTTTTTTCCTCCGTTTTCGTGACTCTCCATCAATTTCTTATCAAACATTAACAACTTCCAGGAAGTTGGGCAGCTTCCCGAACTATGTACTTCGTCAGAGCCCTGATTGCTGTTGGCCCAATAAAACTTTTTCAAGCTTAAAGAATGTTGATTTGCATTCGCCCAAAGGCAGGGCGAACATGAATATTGAACAGCCCTCCCTGGGCGGAAAAAAAACGTGTCCTTGTAAGCCCGCAGCTTTGCCTACAACCAAAACTTTTAACCGAAAAGCGAGTACTTCGGGCCAACTTTAAAGTCTGACAATAAAAATCCGACAATGTTTGCATAATGCCCTGGAAAATCCAGACATCACTCGGTCACCGATTAGCTTTCCTCGAGTACTACAAGGGCGAAAAGTATCTCTCCCTCCCCTTCCAGGAGTTCATTTAAAAGTACAGTATTGACAAGGGAGGCGTGGCCAGTCGGCGGTTGTCTCAATGATTGTAAATTTAAAGTTTTTTACGCCAACAAATTTATCCAATCCCATTGAATTCAATCACTTGAGAAAGTTTTCTTGCTCTGTGGCAGCCGCGTAAAAAACTTGGCCAGAACAAAGGGAGCAAGACTGGGAAAGGTTTTTTTCAAGGAAATCGGGTAGAGATTGGTGGAAAAACTTGGGGGCTTGGGGAACTAAAGAAAAAAGCAGCAAAGTGAGAGGTAAGCAGAATGACTGACGAGCTGCGTGTTGGCCACGCAATGTGCCCCAAAAAAGTTTCCAGTCTTTTTCTTCTTTCAGTTACCAACGATGCAGGATCACGCGAGACTTTATATGGGACCTACATACATACATCCTTCCATCCTCACATCCCGGTGATGAATACCCGTCGTCGACGAGTTTCCCCCCTTTGCTCATTGCTCACATTAGCTTTTATAATTTATTATTTATTGCAATCTACTGTCACAGAAATTTGCTCAGCTTTCTGCTTTTATGTTCTGGTGCTGGGCTCTTTTTTATGATTATGATTATTTCGGCTGTGACCTTGGAGGCCAGAAGTGTCAACAGACACATGACTTCTGGGTGTACAAACAGACAAACACCCAAGATAAAAAGCAAACTGTGAAAAAAGAGTTATTTCGTGATAATAAAGGCAAATTTAATTATAAACGACAGCGACATGAGGGTGGATTATATCCATCAACGGATATTAAAGACAAGGTACTTGATAAGAGGTAGCTTATGGAAAATATTGACAATGAGTTTAAAATGGGAGATGCTTACTCATAAGAGGATGTCTTACTTTCAAGGTATAAGCATGTTTAAAAATTAAGGGATTTCCCCCATTTTTACGCCTAATTATAAATCATAATTTAATCTACTTTACTTAGCAATTACTGCCTAAAAACAATGCGTATGCGTAATCGCTGAAAAAACTTTCAAATGCTTCCTGGTTCATGCTCTTTCTGTGTGTTCATGTGTACTTTTTCTATCCAGTTCTTAAACTTTTATTAGCACACATAATCCCCATCGATTTATGGGCAACTAACTGTCTGAACTATGGCTGGATACGTACGAAAATATATATATATGCCAGTTTATATGTAGATATACCTTAGATTTGTTTACTGTTTACAGTCGTAAGTTGATTTTTGTTGAAAGTTCTTTTTTTTTCTCACATTTTTCGACTGCAGGCCAATGCCAACGCATCTGGCCGAACGCTGAGATTTAATTTACGTTCGCATCTGTTTTTATTGTGCATTTCTTATGCCATTCAATGCCCGTACTCGTAGACGTATTCACACTCACAGTCAAATTCACATTCGCATTCAGACTCACAGCTCCGCCCGCTTCGCATGCCCATTGAGAATCCTCGGCCGAGTTCAAGTAAGTGCAAAAATGTAAATAAAAATCCAATTTTCTTCCGCCTCGCCAGCCGAGGGTGTCCGAAATAAAATATTAAATTATTTGCATAGCGTTCGGGTACGGCCTTTGGAAACACCCACCCTCCCAAGCGTACACCTCCTCGGGCCGTCCAGAAACATTTCCGGCTTGGCCGGAAGTGGCCGGGGAAAGTGTCGCCTCCCATTTTTATTGCCTGTCACTCACTTACCCATCCCCTGTACATTTAAGCACAGAGAGAAAATATCTAAAAACAAAAATGTATATCTCAAAAAATTCTAAGATGGGTAAAATATTTTATAAAAAGTTAGAATATTTTTAAAATTTGTGTTTTAATAGTTCTAACCATTTTCTTTCTGTGCCTCTCACTTTTGGCAGTCGGGCTTGGCTAAAATAATATTTGATTCTGGGAGGTGTTTGGTTAGAAAAGGAAAAAATGGGCAGGAGCATTGGGAATTGAGGTGAGCGAACTGTCAGCTCGTGTGACATTCATGGAAAGTTCAAGGGGAATTCCCCAATCTGCTGCACTGTGCTGCACAAATAATGTGATTACGCTGAACAATAATGACGAGCTAACCTCATAGAATGAGTTGCCAGAATGTTGCCAATGCCCAGAGCGGAACTATTTTCCGGGGGGCCGTCCACTTTTAGTGGTTTATTGATTTGATTTGGGTTTGGCAAGTTCATCAGGATGGTAGGCCAAGTGTATAAATCAATTTTAAAGAGTTAAAAACCCATCTGGTTAGGACTTTAATGTAACATTCTGTTTCTGTATTTGCACATTCTATTCTATGATATTATTCCACCGGCCGGGATTGCCTTGCAAGGCTGCCTCAGAATATTTTATCCTTCTTGGTTTTTTGGCATTTGGCGAGTTATTCGGAAATTGTGATAACAATTTAAGCCACGTAGCGTTGAGAAATTTACATATTATGCCAAGACCGTATGCTAACTCCCAGCACCACCGACAAACCAGGCCACCCACCACTTCCTCATATGACGACACAATTTTGTGTCTTGTGGGCCAAACGGGATGGTGAGTGCAAAAAGCGCAAATATGTAAAGCATTTTGTAGAAATAACTGTAAGTCGCCAAGTTTCCAACTGGGGCGGGGCCACAGTATGTGTCAGGGAGGTGAGAAATGGACGGGGAAGAACCCTTCGGAGGTTTGAATTTCCTCGAAAAAAAAAACAGAAGAAAAAAACGCAGTCAGGGAGCTGGAAAGAATTATATTATCTACTCAAGAAATTGACCTCGCTAGGGTGTCTGCTGTGGGGTCAAGTCTGAGGTCCTTTCCCTTTGTTTTTAGTTCTCTTTCCAAATGTTTTCTTTATTTTGTTGGTGGAGAGCCTGTGCATAGATGAAATATTTTGCCAGCATCATTGCAGGGCTCTTAATCATCAAAACCAACGACAAGCTACAAACGGTTTTGGCAGGCGCCATAATTTAAAAATAACAGGCCAACACCATGGATAACAGGGCCCGAAAAAGGACAACCTTGATAAGGACCAAGGACACAGCACATCGTTAGCAGCTGACATTAACATAACAAATCCAAGAACAGGGTAAATGGGCCAGCAAAAGGAAACAAAACTGGCTGCTAATCCACTTTGGGTGCCCTGGCCGCCCAAAAAGGACATCTGACAGGCAATTAGGGAGCACTATTTAATAACCAAATCAAGAAAATCATATTTTTGGAAAAACCCAAAAACTGGAAAATCAAATTTGGCTGGCTA